TGAGGAAGAAATCACTGAGAAATTGTTAAAATATGGTAATAATAATATGAAGTGATAGGAAAAACAGCAAATAAAGTTTCAAAACATGTAATAGAGAATGAAATGCATAAATATGTCACTATATTTATATACTTTATATGAGGCCCCAAGAACCATAAGAAATGCAAAAAAATTTCACTGTCAATAACTCATTCTTAAAAATCAAATTGCCCCCGTGTGGGGCGTGTGCCCCACGCTGGGAACCAGTGCTCTGCAGCATTAACTGTCTGGACTTGTCCCATTCTATGCTTATGGGACATTCCCTCATCAATATAAACTGATCAGCAGGCCGGCCAGAGGGTCAGGATGAGGATGGCAGGCTAGGGGGCTCCTGCGGCCCCTTCTGTCTGGCTCCAGTGACAAACCAGGAGGCTTGATAAACAAGGGGACCAGTGACAAGCCCAAGAAGGGTCTCACTAGGAGAGCCAGGCAGCTGAGTCAGAAGCCTAAGGGAGGTCTCCTGACCCCTGGCCCTTGCTCCCTGCAGGACTGCACTGCCCCTGAGGTGCCGCCACTTGGCTCTGGCCCGAATCACTGTATCTGGGATAAAGCAAGTGACTGGGGAGGGAATAGTTCATCCCAGTGAACTATTTTTTTCTTTATTGATTAAGGTATTGCATACTAGTATGTGTCCTTATGCCCTCACTCCCCTGGTGTCTGTGTCCATTGGTTAGGCTTATTTGCATGCATACAAATCCTTTGGTTGCTCTCCCAGTGAACTTTTGTTGAACCGGAAAACACTTTTGTGAGCTACTGAAGGCCTCAGGGAAATGTAGCGTAAGGTGGTTAGCAGGATCAGTAATGGTCAGGAAACTGGTGATCAAACCTTATCAGATGTCCCCGTGGGGTGTCTGTGACAAAACCCCATTGTGTGGAGCTGGGGGACTAAGCGTCCAGTTTTTTCCTTATCCACCCTTCTCCCTCTTATATCTGAGTAAGAAACCTTTGTAAGACTGAATTAGGGACAAATGGGTACAGCCATACAATAGAACGGTACACAGCAATGCATAGGCATAAACTAGTCGTAGATGAACTATTGATAATGAACTACTGGTACTACTGATGCACAACAACTTGAATAAACTTCAAGGACATTATTCTAAGTAGCGGGGGAAAAGTCAATCTTGAAAGGTCACATACTGTATGATTCCATTCTAGAAATGATGAAAGTCTAGAGACAGAGGCCAGATGGGTGGTCATCATGGATTAGAGAAGCGGGCAGGGAGGGTAACATTACAAAGCCTAATGCAAAAGAGTTCCCTTGTGTGTGGTGATAGGAGTTTTGTATTTTGTGTGTGATGCTGGTTATAAGAATCTATATAGAGGGAAGGATAGGGGGAAATAATGGAGACATCTGTAATATTATCAACAGTAAAATATATATTTAAAAAAGGATATAGCTCTGGCTGGTTTGGCTCAAAGGATAGAGCATCTGATTTTTGAATGAAGGGTCCTAGGTGCGATTCCAGCCAAGGGCTCAAACCTGGGTTTTGGGCTCAATCCCCAGTGGGGGGCATGTAAGAGGCAGTCAACCCATGATTCTCTCTCCCTCCTCCTTCCTCTCTAAAATCAATAAAATATATTTTAAAAAAAGAATCTATACACATGATCAAGTGTCATAGAGTTATTCACAAAGTTTTTTTTAAAGAGTATATGCAAAACAGGTGAGACCCATACAGTTCATTGCAGCACACCGATGTCCATTTCCTGGTTTGGGAGGTAACCACAGTTACTTACGTAAGATGCCGCCATTGGGGGCAGCGGGGTGATGGGTGTGTGGGACTTCCCTGTACTGTTTTTGCAACTTCTTGTGAATCTGTAATTTACTCAAATAGAAATGTTTAACTCTAAAATATATGTATATATTAGCTGGTCACCCACTAACTTTCAGGCCATGGTAGAGGCACTGGTGACTGAGCAAAAACAAAACATAAAGGTCCCTCATGACAGTCAGATTCAGATGAAAAAAATATCAGCAAAAATATCATGACAGACATATGCCAGGGTGACCACCAACGATTCCCACCCTTGCATAATCCCTACCCCTTGAGTGTGAGAGACCTGGGACTTACTCCTAACCAGTAGACTATGGCAAACATGATGGGACGGCACTCCACATGGCGAAGGTAATGGGTCTGCCCCCAGGGGTGATATGAATGGGCACTATCTTGCCAGCTCACACAAGGGAGACTCTCCTGCTAGCCTTGAAGAAATAAGCTGCTGTAAAGCAAACTGCCTGTGGACAGGGCCACATGGGAGGGGGCTTGGTGGCTTCTAGGACTTGAGGGCCTCAGCCCCCAAACCTGAGAGCTTGGAAGAAAAGCCTGGGCCTCAGAAGAGACTGCAGCCTGTGAGGCCCTGAGCAGAGGATCAGCTAAGCTTCCTGACTCTTGATCCACCAAAACTATGATAAAAAATACGTATTGTCACTAAATGTGTAACAATTGGTTATGCAGCAACAGAAAACTAAAACGGCAAGGACATATGTAATGTCGGATTGAGCTGAATGCGATAGAGAAGGACAGAGCCACTGAGAGGACGGGAGTATATGTATTGAAGCGGCACACGCACGGGCTGTTTTATAACAGGCGGTGGGGAGGGCCTCACTGCAGTGTGTTTAAGTTCACTGGTTTGTCCTCCAGTCAGTCTGTGGGCTCCGGGGCAGAAATAGCCTTGCTCTCCAACAGCCCAGGGCTGGTACAGTGCAGGGCTCAAGAGCTGCCAGGGGGAGTCCACAAGTGAGACTTTTCCCCCAAGATCCCGAGCTCCTTGAGGGTATACCTTTTTGCTTCTGGTTGCCCCTAAATATCTATCCCACGTGATTAGCATTCAATAATCTCTGGGATTCATTCTCTGTCTCTAACTTCCTTCCTGGTCCCACCCTCTTCATTTTCAAATCGGACCCTGAGTCACCTTTTCCAGTCGGGTCTCCAATTCCGACACTTCAGCTTCCACCAGCTCAATAGAGGCTCTGGGAAAGGAGGGATGGTGTCAAGGAACAGAGCTTGGATCCATGTAGTCTGTCCGCCTTGGCAAGGCCAGGTCAGGGGTTGGGGTTAGAGAGTGGGGGGTACAGACAGACAAAGCTGGTGGGTTAAGAAGGCCCACCCACCGGCCCTCTTTAGCTTGCTCACGCCACAGTGTAGGAGCTACTATGCCCAGGCCAGAGCAGGAAGGGTAGAAGGAGGGTGGATGTGGTAAGGGCAGGAAGTTGCTAACCGCCCAGAGCAGGTGCTGGGGGAGGGGCGGGGGTCCCAGTGAGAGGAAGGAGGGAATGCCAGCTCTGGGGGTGAGAGACCTCTGGATTTGATAGCAGAGGTACTACTTTGGCCCACATGCTTCATCTTGTCCCTTCGAGACCTAGTCCCTGCTAGGACATCTGGCCTGGGGATGGGTGTGCGTGTGTGTGTGTGTGTGTGTGTGTGTGTGTGTGTAGGGGGGTGTCGGGCCACCCCTCCTCTACCCCCCAGACCTGTGCACACTTACCGGAAGCGGGGTGAGTCCTTAAGACACTCCTCGAAGTCCAGTTTGACTGTCATCTCAGCTGGATCACCTCAGGCCGATGGATCCCGGGGCCAGGCGGGTGGGAATGCAAGTGGAGGTCCTCCCTGCCCCCAAAGGGGCCTTGGGGAGGAAGGAGAGCGGTCTCCCTGGGTAGAGCCTGGGAGGGGTGATAATTCTCTCCCCAAGGGGAAGGGGTGTCGTAGGAGGAGCTCTCACCCCACACTTCCAGGCAGTGCTGGGAGGGGCAGGGGCGGGGCCTGGGCAGAGGAGAGGGGCCTGAGATCAGAGAAGCCACAGCCCCGCCTCAGAGATATGCTGTCACCTTCCTACTGGGTCAGATCTCTGCTCCTTTCTCCTTTAGTGGTTAAGTATTGAGAGCCTGGCAGATACAGGTTCAAATCCTGATTTGGCCACTTAGAGGGTGCATGACCCTGAGCAAGCTCTCTGATTCCTCAGTTTCCTCACCTGGAAGATGGGGATGGCCACCCCTGCCTCCAGAGTTGGTGTAAGAATTAAAGATGATACCAGTGAATTTATGTTGACCGAATCACACCAATCACTGTCACCCTGCTGCAGCTGGGCCTTCTCAGACTCCGAAGACCTCTGGACTCAGTTCCCCACGCTACTCCGAGCTTTCTTCTCTGCTCTGGCTGCTCGTGGGGGTTTCCTGTGTGCAAATCACCCTGCCTCCTCTCTCTTCAGTGACTGAGCAGGTCCGCCTGGGCCCCCAATTCACAGCACCCAGACTGCTGCTCTTCCTCTCTTTATTTTCCACCCCGAGGGTGGTGAGGGCAGGGGAGGGCTGGCCCCCTCCCCATCTCCAGCTGGCTACATTTTCTATTGTGTGGCTTCTCCCTCCTCAGTCCATCAAAGCCGAAGGGATTCATCTGGAGAGAGGAGGAGGGCTTGGGTGAGTGTTTTCTTACAGCAGGCATGAGATCTGGCCCCTGTGACCCCTCAGGCTCCCTGGAACCTATCCTTAGCCCCTCTCCCTCCCTGGCCAGTGCATGCAGCCACTTGCCCCTGCCCAGGCTCCTATCTGCACTCCTTCTGGCTTGAGGAGTTTGGGTTGCTTCTGGTTTTCCTCTCTGAGCTCTGTGGGCTTGGGCAGTTCAGCCTCTTAGGTGCCAGACACTGACAGTAGCCAGACACTGCTTAGGACCCACTTCTTTGGAAAACAGGGAAGAACCAGGAGTGGGGTAGGTGGCAGAGAGAAGTTGGGAGGAGGCTTGAGACCGGTAGATGGTGTCAAGCTGGAGGGGGTCCCAACTACTTCTGGTCTTCGTGGCTGCTCTCTGGACACTGTAGGCCTTGCACACTAGGATGGTTAGGGCCTCAGCACCTGTTACAGATTTGCTGGCCTAAAGGGAGTGGGGATTTGGGGGGTGGGAGCTTGCCAAGAGCCAGGCCCAGTGACATGGTGTGCTCACCAGGCTGTAACGGTGTCCCTGTCACTGTTAGGGAGTTCTCGATGGCCTGTGATCCCGAAGGGGGCTTCCTCTGTGGTCCAGCGAACGGACCTCAGTTCCTGTGGAATTCTCACTTGCCCAGCTCAAGCGTGAAGAACCTGGAAGCATCCCCGATCAGGGTTGGAGCACCCATCAGTCTGGCAGCTCCCAGCCCTCCCGCCCCCAGGCTGACCCGGACCCACTGTCATTGTCCGGCTGCTCATCTTCCGAGTCCTCCTGGAGCTCCGGGCGAGGCCAGCACCTCAGGTACCTTCCTTTGCTGTGATACTCCTTCCGCTGCACATCAGCCTCCTTGTCCGGCATGATTTTGGCCGAAGCTGGGGACTGATTTCTGAAGGTCGAGGAATCTGAGGAGTCACCCAAATTCATCTGTCCTACAGCCATCTCGGGTGTCTAGGTCCCTAGGTGCCCACTGTGACCTTCCCACTGCCAGAGGGGAGAAGCTCAAGCCCCAGGTTCTCATCTCACCTCTATACCACCTCCTCTTTTAGGAAACCCTTAGTGACCTCTCCATCCCCCACAGGTCTCGTGGGTGTTCTGCTTATCCTCATCAGCCAGACTTTCCTGGGGATTGTCCTGATGGGGAACTTATCCCAACTGCCCCTCTGTCTCTCCTGGGGTCCCCTCCCAGCATCACCTCCCCCTCAGGCAGCAGGGCTGTTGGCCAATCCATGCACACTGAGGAAGAAGGCTCTGGACTACAATTCCCTTGAGTCCCAGGGGCCCCACTATTAGTAGCTACTAACCCTCAGTTTCTCGGATGTGGTTCCTGGTCACCAGGCCAGTCTCATCTTTGACTCCTCCGGCCAGTCCTCTTGCCTGGCCTCCCTCCACAGGCCTGGACTCTGGGCCCAACATCACACCTCGACTGCCACTGCCCAAACTTTCACTACCCCCATTGCTCTTCGAGGGCTGCTTTTTCTGAGCGCTGAGGAACTTTCCTTCATCGTAGTGTGCCTTGCGGTGCTTCTCAAAACCACCGGCGTCTGTGGGCCAGTTTAAGAACTCAGCTCTCCTGCCTCGGTTCATTCCACCTCCCCTTTCCGTGCAGTCCCCACCCCTCGTCTCACGTGTTTTGGAAAAGTTGTCGGAAGGCCCTGAGCTTCTGTTATCAGGATGCTGAAGGACCTTGGGGTAGAAATTGTCCATTGCTGCCAACCTGCAGGGGGTGAGGGGGAATCTAGTTGGGAGCAGTGACGTGACAAGACCACGGGGGCAGCTGGTTGACTCCCCACCTTCGCCTTGGCTGGATGAGGAATGGAGTTCCTCCCACTTAGGGGACCGAAAAGCAGAACTGGCTCAGATTCGAGTTCAGGAGTGGAAGGAGGAAGACACGCATCCCTACTGATCTCCCAGGACTCTCACCTTCCTTTCTTTTTTTTCTTTTTTTAATATATATTTTATTGATTTCTTACAGAGAGGAAGGGAGAGGGATAGAAAGTTAGAAACATAGATGAGAGAGAAACATCCACCAGCTGTCTCCTGCACACTCCCTACTGGGTAGGTGCCCACAACCAAGGTACATGCCCCTTACCGGAATCGAACCTGGGACCCTTGAGTCTGCAGGCCAACACTCTATCCACTGAGCCAAACCAGTTAGGGTAGGACTCTCTCTCACCTTTCAGCCAGTGCCTCAGGGCTCACTGGGTAGGAGGGCTCATCACCATCCTGCGGCCTGCAGAGGGAGGAAGCAGTGCAGAGAGGCGGTAGCATCCAGTCCCTGAGGCCTCTCCGCCTTCTCTCCCGCCCTTCCCCTCCGTTGAATAGGTAAGAGAATCTGGGCTGGAGGATTGGGGCTGACCGCCCAGCACCTGTGGAAGGGAGTGCTAGGCTCATCCACCTTCATAAACCCGTAGTCCTTGTCAGCAGGGTGGTAAGTGGTCATGATATTCATCTCATCCCAGCGTTGAGACTTTTTCCTGCAGTCGGGGAAGGACACAAAGAAGGGGTAGGAAACCTAGTGACCTCCTCCTCACAATCCTCCCGAATTCTTTCAGTCATTCAAAAACTCCTTCTACCCCCTTGCGTTCCAGAGAAATAGGAGGCTACGGATGAGGGTCACGCCTAAGGATGATCACGTACTATGTACCTAGAGTGCCTGCAGCTCTCTCCCAAAGACCTGGAACCTCCCATTTCCCATTCAATGGCCATCACAACTAGTCCGGCCCTTCCCTCCTGGCTCCGCCCCCTCCAGTGTCCATAACCCTCCCTGCTTGCTCCTTGCAGCCTGCCAAATAAGCTGGGATCCTTACTTTTCCGCACTGGGGGATTTCTGCATCAAGGTGGGGTTGCTGGTTTTTAGGATGCTGTGGGGCCGATCCTCAGAGGGTTTGTGGGGGTGCAAAGTTGAACCGGAACGCGAACTGCATCCCGAGTCAGACGTCCCGGATGCACAGGTTCCAGGAACGGGGGGATTAGATCTGCCAGGGTATGTGCCAGTGTGGCCCACAACCTCCCCAGGATGCTGGTTGGGCCTGGAACCATGAGCCGCTACCACTCCGGAGTGACGGAAGGAATCCGGGCTTCTAGTTACTACTCCGGAGTGGCAGGAACCTTGGGACCAGACTACTCCGGAGGGCAGCCCGGAGCCCGCCTCCATCCATGCGCTGCCTCCTGGCACTTCCCTGGCTGCCCCTCCAGGGGGTTCCTGGCTGAGGCTGCCAGCAGCCCCCCCAGACTCCTGCTTTTCCATTGCCCCACCAGGGGGCCCCGCTCAGCTACCCCGCCCCGCCCCCCCACCCCACATGGCCCCGCCCCGAGGCCCCACCCCGCCGCTTCCGCCCGCGGCTCCCGAGCCAGGACCGGCCCCTCCCCTCTGCCCCGGGGAGTCGCGGTGGGCGGGATGAAGACTATATAGGGGCCTCGGGCTGAGAGTCCCACCCTCGTGGCCCCTCCCTCAAAAATCTTTGTCTCCGGGGCTTGTTCCGGCTTTTCTCCGGTGGGGGGCGGGGGCGAGAAGCCTTGTGACCTCACAGTCATCCGACCTCAGCGCGAGCGCCGTTGCTGGGCTGGGGCAGTCTTTTGGGGCCGTTAGCGCCGTTGCTTGAAATTGTCCGCCGGGGTTTCTTTGGGCTTTTTATTTATTAGCTTTAAAACCTAAGCATGAATGCACTGGAGTTCAAGGTGGGCTTGGCTGGAAACATCCGCAAGCCCCTTTACCCCCAAAAGTCGGCCGCTTTGCCTCTCACGAGAGGTGCGTTATAAAGTGGAAAGTGGAGGGACTGCGATCCTGTCGCAAGACACATCCGGCCTCGGCGGTGTGGAGGGCCAAGGTCTCCACGGTTAAAGCGACCGGTTCCCGGCCCCTGTTCGCACAGCTTCGACGCCCGGAGCTGGAAGACCTCGCCTTCTCTTGCCGTAAAGCGACTGCTTCGGGGCGTGGCCTGCCGCGACGGGGGCGGAGCTGCCGGCGCCGCTGCCGCAAAGCTGAAAGTGTTTCAGGTGCCGGCACCCCCCCCTCCCGTCGTAAAGACGGCTGCGGCCGTCGTTTCTTTCACTGTCGTAAAAACTCCCAGCCCAAGTCTTCCCCGCTCTCGGAGCCACTCCATCACCTCTCCGTGCCGTAAAGCAAGCCTCCGACCCCGTCGTCCTTCTGTTCCCACCGGGTGGCCGTTAATTCCTTAGCCCTCAGCCCGGGATGCCTCAGTGCCAGGCAGTGCCGTAAAGCACACCTGGCCCCAGCCCCCGGTCCTATTCCTTCAGGGTGTTTGTGCACCGCCGTTGCTACGGTGCCGCCAAACGCGGCTGTCGTGCGGCCCCGGCGTCAGCGGCGATGGCGGCGGGGTCGGGTGGGAGTGGGGGGTCCGGGGGAGGCCCCGGGCCGGGGCCCGGTGGGGGTGGAGGCCCCGGCGGGAGCGGCCCAGGCCCGGGGTCTGGCGCGGCTTTGGGCAGCGGCGGGGAGCTGCACCCGCGCACGGGGCGCCTGGTCAGCCTGTCGGCCTGCGGGCGCACGGCGCGGCGGCAGCAGCCGGGCCAGGAGTTTAACCACGGGCTGGTGTTGAGCCGGGAACCCTTGCGCGATGGACGCGTCTTCACCGTCCGCATCGACCGCAAGGTGCGGAGCTGGGGCCGCAAAGCCAAGATGTGGAGGATGGTGGGAGGGACCAGAGGGAGACGGGTAGGTCAGCCAGCGGAACCACATCATTGGGTACCGAGGGGGGACCGACAGGCTCAGACGCCAGGTGACGTGCAGGGAGGGAGCAGGAACCCGAAGCATTCAGCCTGAGGGAGACCAGGAGAGCTTGAATTTCCTCAGGACCCAGGAGCAGGGGAGGGACACGGGCCCTCGCCCGCTAGAACGAGTAGGGAGCCAGCCCGGACAATGTCTGGGAGATGGAGGATGGAGAGATGTCAGAGATGTGATGGGCAGGGGAGAGAGATAACCGAGAAAGAGCAGACCATTGAAGGACAAACTCAGGGTTGGATGGGGAAGATGGATAGGAGAGCTACTCGGAGTGGGAGGTGTGTGTGATTTAGGGAAGAGGCCAGGTGCACAGAGACTGACTTTGGGCAGAGAAAAGTCAGAGCCTAGCAGAGAACTGGGCCAGGGAGAAGAGAAGGGAAGACAATGATATACAAGAGCACAGAATATGGACACGGAGAGCTAGCTGTGAATGTGGGTGGTTGAGGAGCCACAGAGTCCAGGGAAGTTAGAGGGGGCAGGGTGCTGGAGCCAGGAAATTAACCAGCATGGTGAGGAACGGACAGATCAGACACTGAGCTGGCTACAGAGCAGAGTGGATCAGACCTCCCAGGGACAGAGTCAGAAAACCACTTGTGGGGCTGCAGCTCTGGGTTAGTGTGTCCAGTGAGAAAAGCCAGTTAAGCTGGTCGGCGCGGTGGGGAGAGGAGGACACGGTGGCCTGTGAGTTGTGGTTTCCTAGTGGAGGGAGGCCCACCGGTGGCCCATCCTGAGCCTCTGTCCACCACCCCTATCACAGGTCAACTCCTGGAGTGGCTCCATTGAGATTGGGGTGACGGCACTGGACCCCAGTGTGCTGGACTTCCCGAGCAGCGCCACAGGGCTGAAGGGGGGTTCGTGGGTAGTGTCGGGCTGCTCGGTGCTGAGGGATGGACGTTCTGTGCTGGAGGAGTATGGTCAGGACCTGGACCAGCTTGGCGAAGGGGACCGTGTGGGCGTGGAGCGCACAGCGGCCGGCGAGCTGCGGCTCTGGGTGAATGGGCGGGATTGTGGTGTGGCTGCCACAGGCCTGCCTGCTCGCGTCTGGGCCGTCGTGGACCTTTACGGCAAGTGCACCCAAGTCACTGTGCTGCCCCCGGAGCCAGGCTTCAGCTCCCCCACTCCCATCCCCACACCTCTCCTCGAGCCCTCCGCTGCCCCCGAAGATTCTGCCTTGGCTGAGCAGGGGACCTCTCGGGATGAAGGTGAGAACACAGCTAGGGCCGTGGTGGAGGGGAGGGGCCCAGGGGATGGCTGAAGGGAAAACCTAGGACAAGCGAGGCGGGGTGTGGGCAGGGCCACTCAGACCCCTGAGTCTGGTGCAGGGGAGCAGGGGCCGGAGGAGGGGTCTCCTGGCTGTGGGCTCTGCAGCAGGGGCTGAACCCTTATCCCCCTCCCGTCCTGCCTGGTTCCCAGCCTTCATGGTGTCCCCAGCGCAGGCCCGGCCGGAGACGTTTCCCAACAGTCTTGAGTCGCATAATGGTGAGGGCTCCCGGGAGGCCCCGGGAAGGGGAGTGGAATGAGGTGGACCAGGGGGGGACCTCAGGAGAGGGGTAAGGAGAGAACTGCGGGCCTCACTCACGTCGGCTTTCCTTCCGTCCCGCTGCGTAGACTTTGCCGGCATGGAGCTGTCTGAGGTGGTGAGCAACGCCATCCTGTCGGCCTATAACGGGGGGCTCCTCAATGTGAACCTGAGCTCCCCACCAGCGGGGGAAGCGCTAGGGCCCAGCTGTGCCGCCACCTCACCCGTCCTCACGTCCAATGACGCCCTGCTCTTCCACGAGAAGTGCGGGACGCTCATCAAACTCAGCAACAACAACAAGACGGCGGAGCGGCGCCGGCCCCTGGATGAATTCAACAACGGGGTCGTCATGACCAACCGCCCGCTCCGAGACAACGAGATGTTTGAGGTGCGCAGGCGCCGGCCGGGCCTGGCGGCACCTCGCCCCCTGGGAGCTGAAGACGGGGCTTGATCCTCGCTCCTGGAAGGGTGGGAGCTGGGGAAGGACCAGGACCAGGGACGGGACTCCCTTCCCTACCTTTACAAGCCCGCCTCTCCCTTCCAATATCCCACCCAGATCCGCATCGACAAGCTCGTGGATAAGTGGTCGGGCTCCATTGAGATGGGCGTCACCACGCACAACCCCAACAGTTTGGAATACCCAGCCACCATGACCAATCTGCAGTCAGGTACCAGTGCTGGCGGGTGGGGGCTGGGGGCTCGGGGAACTGAGGTGAAGGAAACTCGCCGCCTAACCAGGCTGTGCTTTCCCCTAGGCACCATCATGATGAGCGGCTGCGGGATCCTCACCAACGGCAAGGGCACCCGCCGGGAGTACTGTGAGTTTAGCCTGGATGAGCTGCAGGTGAGGGGGCCAGCCCGGCTGCGTCCCTGCCGGGCCCGCAGCCTAAGCACGGCCTTGATCTTTCGCCTAAAGGTTCTAAGCAGGCAGGGCTGCCCCCCAGCTAGGCACTCGGTTTGTAAGTCAGGTGGGTTCCGTTCCTCTTGCTGGTTGGCCATGTGTGATGGTGACCTGAGGCCAGTAGCTTGCCCTCTTGGGCAGTTGTTCCTTTCCTGCAGAGTCTAAAATGAGCCCGTTAGCGGGGTTTTATAGATCGTTGTGAGGGTTAAGCAGGTTCCTGGCTGTCAGGTGACTTCCTGTGTTACTGGAGGGCTTGCACGAAGCATCCAGGGCGGTCGGAGGCCCGGGAGGACTTTGGGAGCTGCTCCCCTGGGACGTGGGTGGTGGGAAGGCGCGGGGGCTGCTCCGTGCTCTTGGTTCCCATGTCTGGAGCCTGATTGTGGATGAACCCCAGACTGTTCTTTTTTGTTCGTCTTGAATAGGAGGGCGACCACATTGGTCTCACAAGGAAGTCCAACTCTGCCCTCCACTTCTTCATTAACGGCATCGATCAAGGTCAGGGAAGCCAGAGGGCAGGCGGGCCGGGGCTCCCGGGGGTGGTCTGTACCTCATCCTCCTGCCTCTGGATTCTCCGTCTCTATATTTGACTCTTCTCTCCTTACCCCCCATTCCTGTGCCTTCCACCCCCACAGGCGTGGCCACCCCATTGACGCCCCCAGTGGTGTATGGTGTGGTAGACTTGTATGGGATGGCAGTGAAGGTGACCATCGTCCACAATAACAACCACAGCGACCGTCTGCGCAGGAACAATGCCATCCTGCGGGCGCTGTCCCCTGAGGGTGCCCTCCGCCGAGCTGCTCCCGCTGCCCAGGCCGAACCCGAGCGGCTGCTCTTCCACCCCAACTGTGGGCAGAAGGCAGCCATCACCCACGAGGGACGCACTGCTCTGAGGCCCCAGTATGGCCCAAGGGGTGGGGAGAAGCCTGCAGAAGGGGCTCTAACGGGATTGGGGGAAGGGGTGAGAAGTGGGAGGTACAAGGAGTCTGGTCTGGGCTGTCCTGGGCAGGAGGGGGGAGCCTTCTGAGTTTGACGTTTACCTGGTTGGCTTGGGCATGTTCGGAGTTTGCGTTGGGGGTCTGAGTCCCCGCTTGCTGTGCCCTCAGTGCCACCGATGACTTCAATCATGGCGTGGTGCTGAGCAGCAGAGCCCTGCGGGACGGAGAGGTATTCCAGGTGCGCATCGACAAGATGGTGGACAAATGGGCTGGCTCCATTGAGATTGGTGTCACCACCCACAACCCTGCCTACCTCCAATTGCCCTCCACCATGACCAACTTGCGTTCTGGTGAGCTCCCGAGAGGGGCAGGGCCAGAAGAGGGTCCTAGGGAGGAAGCCGTCCTCACAGCCCCTTTTTCACTGTCACACTTGTCACACTGTGACGGCTGGGCCAGTGGCTGAGGAGTCCCCGGGACGGGGCTGCGGCTGGCGTGAGAACAGCCGTTTTCTCGTCTTTCTCTGGGGAAAAGCCGACTGTCAGAGAAAAGGCAGGCTGGGCTAAGGCTTCGGGGAGTAGCGTGGGGACCGCTCTGTAAAGGAGGGGGGTCCTGGCTTCCCCCTCATGTCCTCTGCCGCTCCTTGACCCCTAGGGACCTGGATGATGACTGGGAACGGGGTGATGCACAATGGGACAACCATCTTGGATGAATATGGGCACAACCTGGACCGCCTCAAGGTGGGAGAGCGGACGTGCTGGAGGCCTCGGCAGTGGGGAGCAGGCCGGGGGGCTGCTGCAGGACCAGCCCAGGCAGGGACTCTGCCTGACTCCTCACTCCAGCCCCGCTTCTTCCAAGGCAGGGGACACGGTGGGCGTGGTTCGCAGGGAGGATGGGACTCTCCACTTCTTTGTCAACGGGATGACGCAGGGCCCCGCCGCCTGGAACGTGCCCCCGGGCGTCTATGCTGTTGTGGATCTCTACGGCCAGGCTGCCCAGGCCACCATTGTGGACGACGTGGGTGAGGGCCGGGCTGGGCAGGGGCAGGACGGTGGGGTGGCCTCCGGAGGCCCCAGAGACAACTGCATGCCTAACGGGCGATGCCCCCTCTTGCAGAGGTGATTCCGGTCCCTGAGCCACTCCCTGAGGGGAACAACCAGGCGTCTCCCAGCTCCCCATCGTCGGGGGCGGGGGGCTCTGACCTCCGCTTCCACCAGCTGCACGGCAGCAACGCGGTCATCACGAACGGGGGCCGCACTGCGCTCCGCCACAACTGCCGCAGCGAGTTCAACGACGCCATTGTTATCTCCAACCGGTCAGTGTCCGGGCGGGGCTGCCCGCTTTCCTGCTCCCAGCCTGAGCAACCCCACAGGGCCTGTCTGATGGCCGCTCTCCCGGGCAGGGCCCTGCGGGACGGCGAGCTGTTTGAGATTGTCATTCAGAAGATGGTGGACCGCTGGTCAGGCTCCATTGAGGCTGGTGAGGGGCAGCTGTGTGTGTGTGTGTGTGTGTGTGTGTGTGTGTGTGTGTGTGTGCACGCGCGCTCGTGCACACGCCTGTCGGGGGCGGTGCTGCCTGCCAGGGCCTGGGGGCCTGGCTCTGACCTTCCCCTGCCTCCTCACAGGAGTGACTGCTATCCGGCCAGAGGACCTGGAATTCCCCAACACTATGACCGACATTGACTACGATACTTGGATGCTGAGGTTGGCTGCTTGCTTTGGGACCAGCTGGGTGGGTCTGGGACAAGGAAAGCAGGGTTTCAGGCTGCTCCTGTGATAGACTAGGGCCGTGGTCGGCAAACTGCGGCTCTCAAGCCACATGCGGCTCTTTGGCCCCTTGAGTGTGGCTCTTCCACAAAATACCGTGGCCTGGGCGAGTCTTATTTTGAAGAAGTGGTGTTAGAAGTTTAAGTTTAAAGAATTCGGCTCTCAAAAGAAATTCTAATCGTCGTCCTGTTGATATCTGGCTCTGTTGATTAATGAGTTTGCCAACCACTGGACTAAGGGATCTGGCTACCTCTTCTCTTTAATTCTGGGAACCCACCCCCCTCCTTCCTCACAAGGTACTAATGCTTTTTCATGAGCTCCTGGGGATGTAGGAGACAGGATTGGGTCTCAGACCCCAGATTGAGATGCTAATCCAAGGCACTGGAAGGTCTGCCAGGCAGACTGGGCGGGGACCTGTGTGGGGAGGAAGCTGGGAGGCTGAGCTTGCCCTCTGCCCTCCCGCCAGTGGCACAGCCATCATGCAAGATGGCAACACGATGCGCAACAACTACGGGTGCGACCTCGACGCGCTGGGCACAGGCGCCCGCATCGGCATGATGCGCACCTCCAAGGGCGACCTGCACTACTTCATCAACGGCCAGGACCAGGGCGCCGCCTGCTCAGGCTTGCCCCCGGGTAAAGGTGACTGCTCTGTGGCTTCCGACCTGCCGCCCCAGCCTGGCTGTGCAGGCGCCCAGGCTCTGACTCCTCTCCTCCTCCCAGAGGTGTATGCGGTAGTGGATCTCTATGGCCAGTGCGTCCAAGTGTCCATCACCAATGCCACCGGCCCCATGGACAACAGCCTGGCAACCAGCAACACCGCTACCGAGAAGTCATTCCCCCTGCTCTCCCCAGGTTCAGCCGGCAGGGAGGGAGGTGGGCTCTGCTTGCTGCCGGGGCCTGAGAGAGAGCTTCCGGGTCGGGGAAGCTGCTCAAAGACAGGCTGGCTGCAGCCGCTACCGGCAAAGGGGAGGGAACAACCCGGGGTGGACAGCAGCCAGGAAGAGGGCAGGGTGATGCCTGGCACACAGGGCCTGGGTGCTTCCTTGCCACCCAGGGGCTAGGACGTCATAAGCTGGGTCTTCCAGGTTTGGGGATGAGTCTGAATGTGGGAAAAGAGGTGTCACAAGTAAAGGGGCGATGTCAGTGGGACCTTTCTGTCCACTTCCTGTCTCACCTGAAAGCTTTGCTCTGTGTGCTGTCTGAAGCTCGCTGCCCCAATCTCCTGTGTTGTTTGGCACCGTCTTTCCCCAGTGGCCGGCGTGGCTCACCGGTTCCACAGTGTTTGCGGCAAGAATGTCACTCTGGAGGAAGATGGCACAAAGGCGGTGCGGGCAGCTGGCTATGCTCACGGCCTTGTCTTTAGCACCAAGGAGCTCAAGGCGGAGGAAGTGTTTGAGGTGGGCTGTGGAGAGGTGACAAAGGAGGCTTCCAGTCCCTTCACACAGGACCAGCCTGCTTCCTGCCTCCCCCCTCTGCCCCCATCTAGTTGCAGCTCCTACTTTCTCACGCAGGTGAAAGTGGAAGAGCTGGACGAGAAGTGGGCGGGCTCCCTGCGGATAGGGCTGACGACACTGGCACCAGGGGAGATGGGGCCCGGAGCAGGTGGCGGCCCCGGGGTGCCTCCCTCCCTGCCAGAGCTCCGGACAAAGACCACCTGGATGGTGTCCAGCTGTGAAGTGCGGCGTGACGGGCTGCTCCAGAGGATGAACTACGGCCGGAACCTAGAGAGGCTGGGGGTGAAGCGGCTGGGTCTGGGGAACGGTGGGGCTGGGAGTTGGGGTGGCAGGGGAGGTGGGCTGAACCTCTGTCCTCATCTCCCCTTGGTCCTAGGTGGGGAGCCGTGTGGGCATTCGCCGGGGGGCAGATGACTCGATGCACATCCTGGTGGATGGCGAGGACATGGGGCCTGCAGCCACTGGCATTGCCAAGGTAGACAGACCCCGGATTTGCCTTGAATTCTGGGGGTGGGTTGAGGTCTGCCACTCGGCTCCAACTTCCTGTTCTGTGTGCCTCCAGAACGTGTGGGCTGTGTTGGATCTCTACGGGCCGGTGCGGAGCGTGTCTATCGTCAGCTCCACGAGGCTGGAGGAGCCCGAAGGCACCCAGCCCCCCTCCCCCAGCTCCGACACTGGAAGTGAAGGCGATGAAGATGAGGACGAGGAGCACGGCCTGGGAGTAAGAGCTGCCGCAGGGCCCTTTGGGCACACGGAGGAGCGGTTGGTGGGCCATTGGCCACCAGATTGTTTCTGGGTTCCCCAGTCCTGTCCAGGATGGAGAGGAGCTTACACGCACGAGCTCTGAACTCTAGGGGGCGTTGGGCCTCACCTTGGCAACCCTAGCAGCTCGATCTCTCCTCCACACCAGGGCGAGGACCAAGTGGCCGTTATGCCTACAGCCCTTGAATTCCTGGAGAACCATGGGAAGAACATCCTCCTGTCCAACGGGAACCGCACAGCCACCCGGGTGGCCAGCTACAACCAGGGCATCGTTGTGATCGGCCAGCCCCTGGTGCCCCAGCTGCTGGTCCAGGTGGGCCTTCCTTTTCGTCCCCTCCTGGTCCCCAGCAACTCTTGCTCAGGGTGACCCAGGGCCAGCCTTCCCGGAGTAGGGCCTTTCCGGATCGAGGACGGGGAGAGGCATGTCCTTTGAATGACTTTCTGTGGTGGGAGGTGCAGGTCAGTGCCCGCTTGGTACCTAGTGAGGGAAGCCGGAGAGGAGCTGGGGAAGTCCAGGGAAGATGCCGGACCCTGTGTGTGGGAGCAGGGAGGGCTTTCCAGAGGGGCCCTTTTGCTGCCCCCGAAGACGTCACTGTCGGCCGGGGGAAGGGAGCCTCTAGGGACAGGAATCCTTACAGAGTCCACAGCAAGAGCAAGGCCGAGGGAGGAGAGGAAATCACTGAGCTTGCAGTTTCTGGTCCCTCCACTCGCTAGGGCAGCATCCCAGGCCACACTCTGGGCGGGAGGGCAGCAGGCTGGGCTGGGTGGTGCCCTCTTTCCCAGGAGCCATGACGGGAGCAGCCGCCTTCTCTCCCAGGTGCGGATAGACTTCCTGAACCGCCAGTGGACATCTTCCCTTGTCCTGGGAGTCATCACCTGCCCGCCCGAGAGGCTGAACTTCCCTGCTTCTGCCTGTGCCCTTAAACGGGCAGCCTGGCTGCTGCGGGGCCATGGGGTCTTCCACAACGGCCTCAAGGTGGGTGGGGAGCGTGGAGAAGTGAGAGGCCAGGTCTCTGAGGAGGGAGGGGCTGGCCAAGAAGGAGCGGGGCCCTCGGTGGAGGTAGTTATGTCACAGACATGAAGCGGGGCACTGTAGTGAGTGGACTCACACAGGGCGCGAGTGTCGTCATCCGGACAGTCTCGGGCTTGCTGCCTCCTGTGCTGTAACTGAGAATGTTGCAGTGGGGGAAGGGGAGGTGGCGTCTGGGTCTGAAGCAGAGGGTGGAACCCAGACAGTGGGCAGGTGTGGAGGCAAGGCCCGGGACTGGCGGCCTGAAGCAGCGTGAAGGGTGGTGGCTGCTGCTGTGGGAGTCTGCCCTCGGGGAAGACAGTGGGTCTGTCCTTCCCAGATCTGTGAGAAGTTTGGGCCAAATCTGGACACGTGTCCTGAAGGCACCGTCCTGGGACTGCGGCTCGACAGCTCTGGGGGACTGCACCTCCATGTCAACGGGACGGACCAGGGGGTGGCTGTGCCCGATGTCCCCCAGCCCTGCCGCGCGCTCGTGGACCTCTACGGGCAGTGTGAGCAGGTCGGTGGCAATGGAGGCCGGGAGGAGGGGGGGCCTGGGGACTTCTGTCCAGATAAAGGGGAAGATCGAAGAAGAGATCAGGAGGTTCTAGAGGATGGTGACCCTGGCTGGCCACCCCTCTGTGCTGCAGGTGACAATTGTGAGCCCTGAACCAGGAGCTGCCAGTTTGAAGAGTACTGGAACCCAAGGGGACATGGAGAAAGCTGACATGGTGGATGGTGAGCCAGCCCAAAGGGACCAGGATCCAACCCACTCCATCCTTCTCCCCATCTCCCGTGACCTGAGCCACATTTGCTCCCTCAGGGATCAAGGAGAGCATATGCTGGGGCCCACCGTCTGCTGCCAGCCCTCTCAAGAGCTGCGAGTACCATGCCCTTTGCTCCCGATTCCAAGAACTGCTGCTGCTTCCTGGTGAGTCCCAGCCCCCTAGGATCTGCCTCGGTCTCTGGACCGGTGCAGGGCCATGCTGAGGGCCAGAGACCAGTCAGAGGAGGCTGTGTAGTTGAGACCCAGAACAGGAGCCATAGCACCGAGTCTGCCACTTGCTCTTCCGCAGAGGATTATTTCATGCCTCAACCAAAGCGGAGCCTGTGCTACTGTGAGTCTTGCCGGAAGATGCGCGGGGACGAAGCCCATCGGCGCCGTGGGGAGCCTCCCCGGGAATATGCCCTGCCCTTTGGCTGGTGCAGGTTCAACCTCAGGTACGGATGAGGCACGCATCCCTCTTACTGTTCTTTGCCCCCTTGAAAAAGGAAGGCCCCAAGAGGTGCATGGAAGTGACTGAACTGCATGCCTAGGGAATGCCCTTGGGGAGCCAGTAACCTTTGTCCCATCTGCCCTATCTGCCCACTTCCTAGAGTGAATCCTCACCTGGAGGCTGGGACACTCACCAAGAAGTGGCACATGGCATATCACGGCAGCAATGTGGCCGCCATCCGGAGAGTGCTGGACCGAGGGGAGTTGGGAGCAGGTACTGTAGCTCTGACAGAATCAGAGCGGCTGGGCCTGTGGGCTGGGGCCTGTGCGCTACTCTGACCAGTTCTCCTCACAGGTTCTGCCTCCATCCTGAGCTGCCGGCCCCTGAAGGGAGAGCCCAGGGGAGGGTTTGAGGAGCCGGGTGAGAACTGTGCACCTCCCCGGGAGGAGCAGCCCCCTCCGGTGCTGCTTTCTCCCTCCCTCCAATATGCTGGGGCCGAGACCCTGGCATCCAAAGTGCAGTAAGTACACAAGAGATGGCCTCAGGGCCACTTGGGTCTCCATGATTTGCACTCTTCTTTCCCACCTTGTTTTTCTGGTTCCTCAGTCTGCACCCAGCCCTTTCTCGGTGTGGCTCAGTGGTTGAGCATTGACCTATGAACCAGAAGGTCACGGTTCAATCCTGGTCAGGACAGATGCCTAGGTTGTGAGTTGGATCCCCAGTAGGGGGCATGCAGAAGGCAACCAATCAATGATTTTCATCATTGATGTTTCCCTCTTTCTCTCCCTTGCTCTCTCTGAAATAAATAACATTTTTTAAAAAGTGTAGTTGGAGCAGGCATATTTAAAAGGGTAGTCAGGGCGGATATCACTAAGGCTGGAGAAGAGATGAGGGAGTTAGCTGAGCGGGCACTGGGAACAGGCCATTTAGAGCAGAGGGAACAGCTAAGCCAGGTCCCTATAACGCAGAAGTGATTCCTGGGACTAGCAGGCCCCTTAGCTGCAGTTAGGAGAGGTGACTGTGGCCAGAGGCCTCACCACCCTGTATCTGTTTTTTGCCTGACAGATTTTGGGACCCCAAATTCCAGCGGACACACCAGGCCCAGGTGGCATTCCAGGTGTGTGTGCGCCCTGGCTCCTACACCCCCGGCCCTCCTTCCGCTGTCCTCAGAGAACCTCCTGACCCTCACTTCAGCCCAGCCGAACTTGAGTGGGTAACCAAGGAGAAGGGGGCCACGCTCCTCTATGCCCTGCTGGTACGGGTGGAATGAGGGAGTGAGACCTCACTACTACAAGCACAGTTGGGCCTCGGGCCCATGGACTCCGAGTGACGACTGCCTCCACCTCATTCCAGTGGCCCACAGCATGCATGGTGCTCATTCTGGCAGATGCGCAGGAGCATGGAGGCAGTCTCAGATTTAGGTGGGAAGTGGAGGACATCTCCATGTCCAGGGCCTCAGAACACTGAAGTGGAGAAGCTGGTGGGGAACCCAGCTCCAGGCCCTGGGTAACTCCTCTTTCATGCACTGATTTGGGGAACACGACTCCCTCTGACTCCCTCCCCTGTATCACTTAATTTATTTCCGTTTTTGTTCCTGGTTACTGTGAATTCCAGAGGAGTCTCCTTGTGCCCCACATGAAGCTGCTTTTTCCCCCCCGGGGCCACCAGGCAGGAAAGGGGAAGGGCGGGCGCAGTGGAGGGGTTGGGTCCTCTGTACAGTTGTCATGACTCTGATTTCCAAGGAGCCAATAAACACCGTCTCTGAGCACCTGCGTCGCCTCTCTTGCACTTCCTAAGGGCGTTCCTGGCCGGCCTGGTCAGCTGCTCAACCGCGGGACCAGAGCTGGCCCAGGGGGCTGGCGCGCCGCCAGAAGGGGAGTCCAGGGCTGGTCGGCGTGGGGCGGGCTCAATGGAGAGGTTTGGACGCCACAGGCACCCGTCCTCGGCACTTCCGCCTTTTCCTTCCGCCCAACCCTTAAAGCCCCTGGATGCTGAACCCGGAAGGATTAAGCCCAATTACCGGATGTGACGTTTGGCCGAGGCGCGCAGGTGGGAGCGGAGAAAGCACGGAGAAAGGGTAGGGAGGGGCTGGGGCCGAGTCTGGTGGGGCCGGAGGCGAGAGCCCCGAGGCTAGAGACCCCTAAGCACGCGCGTGCGCGCTGCAGCAGAGGTGGGCGGTCCCGCGATCGGGCGGCAGGCCCCGGACACGTGACTGGGGTGGCGGGCGGCCTTCTGACTCTGCTGAGCGAGCGATTGAGTGCTCGCCTGCCCACAGGCCCCGTCCGAGGTCCGGCAGTCAGCGACAGAGCCGGGCGCCCACGGCCCGTGCGCCCCCGGCAGCACCATGCCTGCGCTCCTGGAGCGCCCCAAGCTTTCCAACGCCATGGCCAGGGCGTTGCACCGGCACATCATGATGGAGCGGGAGCGCAAGCGGCAGGGTGAGTTGGGGCCAAGGCGGGAGGGCACACACCCATGTGGACACCGCCGTTCCAGACCCCACCCACGGGCAGATCAGTGCTGCTGCAGGAGCTAGTAGGATGGAACAGCCCCGAGGTGGTGGGAGTTTAAATCGCCAGGTCTGAACTCCAGAATTCCTCAGCTGGGAAGGACCTTGGAGAGCACCTGATGAACCTCACCTCTCCCTGTCCCCTCGCAGTGATTGGAAGCCTCTTACCAAGAGCACTGGGATAGCCATTTTTGCTGGTCTTCAGTCTCTAACATTCTGATTACTTTAACCATTCTGCCACTTTTCCTGTTTGACGTTTCCTCCAGAGGAAGAAGAAGTAGACAAGATGATGGAACAGAAGATGAAGGAAGAGCAGGAGAGACGAAAGAAAAAGGAGATGGAAGAGAGAATGTCATTAGAGGAAACCAAAGAACAGGTATGTGTTGTCCCTGGATCTTTCCCAGCGCTTTCTCCCCTTGGCTTTCCTACCTTCATCTTTTCTTTCCCTCCTTTTCCAGATCCAGAAACTGGAAGAGAAGCTTTTGGCCCTTCAGGAGGAGAAGCACCAGCTTTTCCTGCAGCTCAAGAAAGTTTTACACGAGGAGGAAAAGCGGAGGCGAAAGGAGCAGAGGTGGGATTGGAGAGCTAAAATTAGAATTGGGGAAAAAAATATAGATGGAGCCAGGTAACAAAAGATGGTGTTTGTGGCAAGAGGAGCCACTTGTCCTTGATGTTTGACCTGCCTTCCTTTCAACTCTAGTGACTTGACCACTCTGACATCAGCTGCATACCCCCAGAGCCTGACTGTTCACACGGGAACTCATCTCCTCAGCATGCAGGGTGAGGATTAGACACTTGTCAGAGGGGCCCTCCTGGGCCTCGCAGACTGCCACTTCAGCATCATGAAGCCCCTCTCCGTCTCTAGGGAGCCCTGGAGGACACAATCGCCCAGGCACCCTCATGTCAGCTGACAGAGCCAAACAGATGTTCGGACCCCAAGTACTTACAGTAAGGAGTAAAATTGGGTGTTTCCCCTTTTACTTCCACCCACCTTACTAAGCCACTATTCAAGCAATGTGTGTGACACTTAAATGTACAGAGAAAAAATGGAAGCATATACAAGTCACTTGAGAGTCTGCTTTCAAGTTTACAGTGAGTTCTCATCCTTCTCAGACCCGGCATTACGTGGGCTCAGCAGCTTTCACAGGGACCCCAGAGCATGGGCAGTTCCAGGGCAGCCCAGGTGGTGCCTATGGGACTGCTCAGCCCCCACCTCACTATGGACCCGCTCAACCAGCCTATAGCCCTAGTCAGCAGCTCAGAGGTAAGTGGTGGGAAGGAGGGAGAGGGGGTGCTTTCCTCAGGCCAGAGGGTAGTGTGTTGTGAACAGAGTAAGGGGGGGGGGGGTCCTAATGGCCGTGCCTCTTCTTTTTCAGCACCTTCAGCCTTTCCTGCAGTGCAGTACCTGTCTCAGCCACAGCCTCAGCCCTATGCTGTGCACAGCCACTTCCAGCCCACCCAGACAGGTGATAACACCCCATTCAAGGGCCCTGGTCCCTCAAATTCTCCCTTTCCTGTTCTCTATTCACTTCACACACCCATCTTCCCCCACCTAGGGTTCCTCCAGCCTGCCGGTGCCCTGTCCCTACAAAAGCAAATGGAGCATGCTAACCAGCAAACTGGCTTCTCTGACTCAGTGAGTGTGGATCTTGGGAGGATCAGGAGGAAGGGCTTTTGCTATGGGGAACCCCAGGCTGCCTCAGGTTCTGACTCTGTTCTCTGCAGTCCTCCCTGCGCCCCATGCACCCCCAAGCTCTGCATCCGGCCTCTGGACTCCTTGCCTCCCCCCAGCTCCCTGTGCAGATGCCATCAGCAGGGAAGGTAAGGATGCTATACCTGACACAATTCCTAGTCCGTGGAAAACAGGATTGGGTAGGACAGGCCCTCACCCGTATTTTCCCTTCTTTCTTGGGGGTGGTTATGTGGGGATGGAGCAGAAGGGACAACACGCATACTGACAAACCCTTTCATCACCACCACCAGTCCAGCTTTGCTGCTACTAGTCAACCTGGCCCCAGGCTCCCTTTTCTCCAGCACAGCCAGAACCCAAGATTCTATCACAAGTGACCATCAAATTTCATCTTCACCTCACCCCACCCCTACCTTGGGTGAGGGCCCCTGATATGTCCTAGGCCAATAAAATCTATCTGCCATTGCCCCTGGCTACTACTGTTTGTGTTCACCCCCACCTGGGCTAGGCCAAGGCTGCTTAGAGGGTAGGGGATAGGTAACATGTCATGGCAAATGAGTGTTCCCAGACTGGGGACACTCGGATGATTGTAACGAACTCATTGACACAGTCTAATCTACAATCCATTTTTGGTTCCCAAGTTTCCCTTTAGTCACCAAGTACCCATTTATTCAGAGTAGCCAAGTTGGGGCTTCATATTAAACTTGTAGTTTTATTCAGGTTTGATTTTAACAAATGTGTCAGGGTAAGAGCCCACAGGAAAGGGTGAAGCCCATGGGGGCAGGGCCCTCCCAGATGCCTGTGGAGGGGGACAGGTCCCCTTTCCTCTCCTCCTCTTCCCTCTCCAGCTAAAGGGATTTGGGGAGAGACATAGGCATGGGGAAGGAGCTGGTCCCCAGTCTGTAAGGTGGTGCTTGGGATAAAGGGTTATAGGAACAGAGACCAGACCAGGGATGAGTTGGGGGGGGGGCGGGGGTTGCCACATGGACCATTTGCCAGAATCCACGGCTGATTCCAGAATTTAAAAAAAAAAAAAAAAAAAAAAAAAAAAAAATCTAAACCACAAGCAGCACCCACCCCATCTCCCCCACAAGGGCTGTAGTGTGAGGGGAGAAGAGGAAGGCAGCTTCACCAAGGCCATGGCTCACTCACTCCTGGCCAAGGAAACAGGGTGAAGGGCAGGGGCTCCCCAACATATTGAGGGGGTGGAGGAAACCAAAATAAAACATCAAATAAATTGTGTAGGAGTCCAGCCAAGGGCCGGGGCCAGAGCTGAGCCAGGCTGGGGGAGGGGGCCTCTGCAGGCTCGAGGATCACTGCGCCACCACCGCCACCCTGTGTACAAAAGAGAAACCAGGTAAGAGAGGGTAATACCATCAACAGGAAGAAGGGCTAGGGGCCAGAAGCCTAGGACAATTAAGACTAAAGCATCCACAAAGTATGTGAAGGGGGCTTGAGGGAGTTTGTGACACTCACCTTGGAGCCAGTTATTTTGCCATGGCCTTGATTGCAACAGCTGCCTCCTCCGTCATGGCAGACAGCACTGTAATCTTTGGGGAGCAAAAGGGAGAATCAGAAACCTAAGCTCAGGGACCCTGCACAAGGAGCAAAGTGGACACAGAAGTAGGTGGGTGGGGCACTATACCAGGATCTCCTCTCCACAGTCGTACTTCTGCTCAATTTCCTTGCCAAGGTCTCCCTCAGGCAGACGAAGGTCCTCTCGCACCTCCCCACTGTCCTGGAGCAGTGATAGATACCCATCCTGGATGCCAATCAGCTGGGGAAGAGAGGGAAGGAGGCTGGAGGTTGACACAGGGTCTGACATACCAAATACCATCAATCAGTATCTGCGCCCCCACCCCAACTGACTAACCCTACATCAAGACCATCCACATACCTGGAAATCATTCCTTTTGATGTTGGGAACGTCCATATTATGAGTTGACGGGCAGATATCTTCATATTTCTTCCCAGTAAAGATGTCAATACCAACCAGGTGGACCTGTATGTACACATCACATCAAAGAGAATCCCAACTAAACTTCAGGATGGAGGAGATAAAAGTTCAAGTTGTCCCTGGCTGGTGAGGGAAGTCAGACTAGATTGGGCAAAGATTAGGGGAATTGGTAATGAACCATAACCAAAACTTCTAAAAGGAACCTGAGGTGAAAAGACCACCACTGAGGCTGGGTCCACAGCACAGGGAACATGCAGGCTGGTTTTGGAGTAGTCATCTCGAGCTAGCAAATCATTGGTAAATAAAATGCTAAAAACTTGGAAAATAAGAAAGGTAGAAGGGAAAGAGCTGAGAATACAGGAAGGACTGAGAAAGAGAGCTGAAAAAATTATTTAGGGGAAATCAGAAAGAATGAAGCAATTAGGAAATAAGAAAAATGTGAAGTAGGAGAATCTAGGACATCAGTGGGTAACCCAGGATTTATGCCAAGTCAACAGAAGACAGGGTTGAACTTTTGAGGAAAAAAAGTCTGAAGTGCCAAGGAAAGCACTGGGCAAGAATGTTAGGGCCCAAAAGGCAAGGAGGCTGTTACCTCAAGGAGAGGGGCAGCCTCCCTGGCCTCCTTCAGGAAAGGCTGTATTTCATTAGGATTGAAGAAACCCTGGGCAAAGTGATACAAATAAAGAGCACCTATAAAGGTTCAAGGAAAGATGAACAGAAAAAGTGAAAGCCACGAATAAGGACGGAGCAGCTAAATAGCCAGAGCACAAAGGACCAAGAGAAGTTACAGATTCACACAGAAGGGAGAGGAGTTATCAGAGAATGATGGTGGAAGAGGCTCAAGGCTGGTAGCAAGTGTAGAAAGAAAGGAAGTATCGAGGGCTGAGTGCTGAACACAAGCAATTGGATAATAGATAAGAAAAGAGTTAAATAGAAGGCTAGGACTGCTGATAGCTTGCTGCCAGGAGCTTGGGCAGGGAAATGTGGGGAAGGCAAGATGTGAAGAGGTGGAATTCTAACCTTGGCATGGCCGTGCTTGCCAGTCTTGGAGGTGGACATCTCCACAATCTTACATGGCCGTCCTTTGAGCACCACAAAGCCATTCTTCCGTAATGCTGAGCACTGCATTGGGAAGGTGGCTGAGGCCCCTGCATCTCCTGTCTCGAAGTCCAAATCATCTGCCATTTTAAGAGGCTTCGATTCCAACTAGTCAAGAAAAAAACTGGGGTCAGCGAGGATGGAGGCTAACGGTGTCTCCAATTTATCCCACTACTCTCTAGAAACTGCTTCATTTTCATTCCAGATGTTTATTCCATTACCCACTTAAAAAAAAAATTCCTAGATTAAATACTGACGGTAATCACAAATACTTGAGAACTCATGTGCATGTTAGGGAGAATAAGCTGGATCCCTACCCCAAATGAAAGTTAAAGGGGACTTGGGGAAAGAAGTTTTGGGGCATTAGGATGTCAAATCTGAGATGGGCAAAGACCTAATCCCTGGGGAGGGGGAGGACTCAGGTGTTACTTGCCACTGAAACCAACTACCCCTTTAGCCCACACATAACCAGGGCTATAATTAGGTGAGCAGCTATGAGCCAGCCAAAGGGCGGGGCTAATGTGGAGGGGAGAAGGGAGGGTGGATACCGGAGGGCAGGGCCCCACCCGTCTCTGTTACACCCCCCCCACCCTATCCACACACAAGCTAGTCATTGGTACAGGAAACCACAGGGCTCTTTGGGGGATTCCCGCCTCTCCAACAGGCATTTGTAGATGCAGCCAAGGGGGAGAAAGTAGTGTTGTTTTCTAACTGATCCCCCTGCCAAACACCTCGATCTTGTTTCCCAAAGGGAACCCAGGAACCCAGCGTCTCCTTGAGGGCCCTCCCACTTTTCCCAAGATGCTTCGGTCCTGTCGGCTTTTCAGACGGGGCCTGCAAGTCCGTAGAAAGTAAAGGAGTTGGGAGTGGTGAATGACAATAAAACGAAAGCAAAGACTGGTAGTAATTAGTAGTATAACTTATAGTAGGTTAGTAGAATTAAGACTCTAAAACCAGAACTCCCAAATCATACACATGGAGGAAGACGGTGACAAGGTTGTGAGCACCTAACCGCGGGGAGCTCATGTGCCCCGGACTTTAAGGCGCTGTCAGCACCACTGAGTTGGGCTCCCGTCCAATCGCCCTCGTTTTCTCCATTTCTCTGACTTCCAAGCAAGAAACAGTGTCGCTTACACCTGGCTGGGCCCCCTCACTTCACCTGTTTTGGGGGGAAGCTCCAGGGGCCCATGAGGTGGGAGAGCGCTAACATATGCCCGCAGTGGCTCTCTCGGTGATCACGATCCGGGCCGCCGGCTTCTCCCACTCCTCAAACCTCCAAGCTCCCTCAGGCGCCCACGAGGACCTGCTTCCCCGCGCTGAGGGTTGCCGACTCCCGCCCATGTGGCCGCCCGAGGCTTCCGGTGGCCGGGACTTGGGGGGAGGGGTCCCCGCGCTGCCATGCGGACCCAGTCCACGTTCGGCCATGCGGCCTCTGACCCCGAGGGCAGCCTTCCGTATGGGGCACTTCCGGTGCCGCAGCTGCCCCCTCCTCAAAGGCCGCGCCTGTCCGGAGCCACGCCGGCCTCCCCTCCCCCGCCGGCCGCCAGCCCCCCCGAAATGCCCTCTCACCGAATAGCCCCCTCCCCCACCTCACGTGGCCGCGCGGCTCCGGGTTCTCAACCGCCCAGGTACCCTTGTCCCGGCGGGCCGATCTGGCCCCCGGCCCTCGCCCCGGCGTGACCGCCTGGCGGCCTCTCCCGCGTGGCGGCCTCGCGGCTCGCCGTCCCCCGCCCTGCGTCGCTCCAACGTCACCCGGCGGGACCCAACCGTCACCGCACGCGCTAACCAGGGCAGCACCCGCGCCTTTCCGCACCTCGCGCCGCTTGCCGACCAGACCCCGGCGGCGGCCACCGCTGCTCCTTTCTGCCCCCTCCCCGACCCCCGCGCAGTTCCATCTCTCCTCCCAGGTCCAAGTCAAGGTTCCGCGCACGCGCGCCCTGCTCACTCTCACCTCGCGCGAACGCAATAACTCGACCCCGTCCGCTCGCCGCGAGCTCAACCGCTGCCTCTGAGCCCGCTGCCGCCGCCGCCGCCGCCGCCGCCGCTGCTGCACACGGGTCTTAGTACGCAGGCGCCGACTCCCCACTGACCAACCAAGCAGCCCTGTGACAGCCGCGCAAGCGTGCTATCCAGCTCCTCCGCCCTCCACCCCCGCACTGCGCAAGCGCAAAGATCCTCCCCAAGCTCCATCCTCCCTCCCACCTACCCGGCCAATGACGTGTACGCGCGACTCCGCCCCTCACTAATACTGAGTTCAGCCCACTAGTAGGCAACGCGCAGGCGCACCCGGTTTTTTAATCCCTTTAACCTCCTCTTCCCTCCCCGTGATAGACCACTAGCCCTACCGGACAGTTCTTGCGCCTGCGCAGTAAGGAGCCCTAGCCTCCACCCTCTGAAGGAAACGCCTCGACCACAAAGCGCATGTGTGTGGGACTCTTGGCCACCCCTCCCACCTCAGACGTCGCTCATACGCCGGACGGAGGAAGACCACGCCACCGTCTCGCTGGTCTCCTCTAGGACGCATGCGTTGTAGGAAACGCCCCACCACGGCTGTAACCGGACCTAAACGCCTCACACGTTTCAGAAAACTTGCCCTGTGAGGTGGGCTCCCCGTCTCAAGACCGCCCCCCACCCACCCGGCCTCAGACCCAGTCGCACACATGCGCAGCAGTGCTCTTTGCCCTCCAGTCGGCCCAGAGCGCCAGGGCGGCCGGGCTATCACCCAGCTCAGCTCCGGTTCTGAGCTGTAGGCTCTGCTCTGCCATAGAGTTTCGTTTGGAAAGATAGAGCGGTCCTGTCTCGGCCACCATCTTGTTTAAACGCTTGATCCGCATTGGTCCCTGTGGCTCACGTAGAGGCTATTCTACCTCTGAATCCTGAATTAAGATACTTATTTGTAATTCCCCTTTCCCCCCAATCCAACTGTTCTCTGTGATCTCCAAAACAATTCTCTGCGAGCACACTTAGAAAAAAATCATAAGAATGGTATGTTAAATTCCACTGACGTTCTCTTAAATTATAGATGTCCGTGAAGCTGGAAACATCAACCCGGCCCTCATTCTAGGGAATAAAACTGCATTTCCAGCCCTGATCGGTTTGACTCAGTGGATAGAGTGTCGGTCTGTGCTCCCGAGGTCCCGAGTTGGATTCCGGTCAGGGGCATGGGCCTTAGTTTCGGGAGCATACCCAGTGAGGGGGGGGGGGGGTGTAGGAGGCAGCTGATTGATGTTTCTGACTCTCTGTCCCTCTCTTCCTCTCTGTGAAAAGTCAATAAAATACATTAAAAAAAAAAAAAAAACACCCTGCATTTCCTGAAAACTTCTAGTCTCCCACCAGTTCCCAGGTTTCCAGTACCACCTTCATGGCTATTTTGTTTGCTTCAGTAAGCTAGGTGAACAGTAGTACTGTGGAACAAGAGGAGCAACTAAATATCTGGGATTAGAATCCAAAATCCTGAATCTGGTTATTTTATTTTATTTTTTTACAGAGAGGAAGGGAGAGGGATAGAGAGTTAGAAACATCTATGAGAGAGAAGCATTAATCAGCTGTCTCCTGCACACCCCCTACTGGGGATGTGCCTGCAACCAAGGTACATATCCTTGACCAGAACCGAACCTGGGACCCTTCAGTCCGCAGGCCAATGCTCTATCCACTGAACAAAACTGGTTAGGGCTGGTTCTTTTATTTATTTTTAAATATATTTTTATTGGCCGAAACCAGTTTTGCTCAGTGGATAGAGCATTGGTCTGCAGACTGAAGGGTCCCAGGTTCGATTCCGGTCAAGGGCATGTACATTGGTTGCGGGCACATCACCGAGGGGAAGTGTGCGGGAAGCAGCTGGTCGGTGTTTCTCTCGATGTTTCTGACTATCTATCCCTCTCCCTTCCTCTCTGAAAAATCAATAAAATATTTAAATAAATAAATAATTTTAAAATATATATATATTTTATTGATTTTACACAGAGAAGAATTGAGAGGGATAGAGAGTTAGAAATGTCGATGAGAGAGAAACATCGACCAGCTGCCTCCTGCACACCCCCCACTAGGATATGCCAGCAACCAGTGTACATGCCTTTGACCGGAATCGAACCCGGGACCCTTCAGTCCCCAGGCCGACACTCTTCCACTGAGCCAAACCGGCTTCGGCATAAATAAATAAATTTTTATTGAGTTCGGAGAGGAAGGGAGAGGGAAGAGAGAAACATCAATAATGAGGATCATCGATGGGCTGTCTCCTGCACGCCCTCTACTGGGGATTGAGCACACAACCCAGGCATGTGCCCCTGACTGGAATCCAACTCAGGATCCTTCAGTCCGCAGACCAATGCTCTACCCACTGAGCCAAGCCAGCTAGGGCCTGAATCTGGTTCTTGTTTAAGAATCCTGTGACATGATAAATATGAACTGCAAACATCAGCTTGAATTAATACATTTAGGTAGCACACCAAAGGCCCAGTGCATGAATTCGTGGACTAGTAATGTCCCTTGGCCTGGCCTGTGGGATCGGGCAAAACCAGCTCTGATATCCGCTGAGGGGTCCTGGATTGCAAGAGGGCAAAAGCTAGGCTGAGGGACCCCACCATTGCACTACTGAGGCCGGGGAGGGATGTGGGAAGTTGGCCAGCTGGGGATGGTGGAAGGGACCCAGGACATGTCTAACCCCTCTAGCTCAGTCCCAATCACGGGACCCCAGCAAGAAGCTAACCTACTTGTTGGAGCATCTGCCCCCTGGTGATCAGTGCACATCATAGCAGGGGTTGAGCAGCCTTAGGATATGGTTAGCATATTATGCTTTGTTTGAACAGACAACCCCATGACGGAACACTTAGCACATTAGGCTTTTATTATATAGGATTATACTATCACCCCCAGCTCTTTCCATTCAATTTTCTGAAATGCTTGCCCTTTCCTTTGTAAAACAAAATTTGCTGGCCAGTTTGGCTCAGTGGATAGAGCATTAGTCTCCAGATCATTCTGGTTTTATTCTGGTCAAGGGCATGTACCTTGGTCGCAGGGCACTGGTCAGGCTGATGGAGGATATTTCTCTCTGTCTCTCCCCCTCCCTTCAGCTCTCTCTAAAAATAAATGGGGGGGGGTGTTGGGGAGGTAATATCCTTAGGTAAGGATCAACAACATACATGAGATCACAGTAAACTGTGTCTGTAATATCCTTAGGTGAGGATCAACAACATACATGAGATCACAGTAAACTGTGTCTGTATCTCATGTAAAGATAAATTAAGCCAGCTGATGGAAAGAATTCCCATAGAGAGAGAAATCAAGCAAGGATTAGGGTTCTCTGTGGTACAAATATTTCACAGTGAACTGATCCTTATCCAGGGACCTGGGCAGGAACTATCTATTCTTCCACCCTCAAAGGCTTGCATAAAAGTCAAATCCATCAGCCGAAATCGGTTTGGCTCAGTGGTAGAGCGTCGGTCTGCGGACTGAAAGGTCCCAGGTTCGATTCTGGTCAAGGGCATGTACATTGGTTGCAGGCACATCCTTGGTAGGGGGTGTGCAAGAGGTAGCTGGTCGATGTTTCTCATCGACGTTTCTAGCTATCCCTCTCCCTCCCTCTCTGAAAAAAAAAAAAAGTCAAATCCATTAAATAAATATTGAGAATGGTCAAATAGATAATGCTTTGAAGAACAGGTCTTGAACCTGCTCTCACAACACCCAGCTGCTGGGATCATAGCAGAAATCTTGACTGCACTCACCCATTCATTCAGTTAATATTTACTGAGTCTAGTAAGTACCAGATACTTGGGCACAAAGATGGTGAGCTTAGCAGTATGATCTCTGCCCCACAATTGGATGGAATGAGATTATCAGATAATAAACAAAAATCCAATGTTGGTCTGTGTGCTCAGGCCAGTGCCTGTCTACCACTGGTGAGTGATGGGTTTATAATGAGAGCAGGTAGGAGGAGAAGCCCCCTGAAGTATGCCTGAGGGATCTTTGTGATTCTGGCCTTGCCTCTTTGGAAGTTGAAGGAAAGCTGTAGGTGGAAAAGAATGAGACTGGAGTTGTTCTGGGTCTGGAAGAAAAGATCTATCCACCCTTGTTGAAATCTTGCTCACCCTGGGTGCTAGAAAAGTCAGAACATTTCTTAACAACTGGACCAAGTGAAGAGAAACAAGGCTGGGGACAGACCCGGCTCACAGAGGAGGGAAGCTAAGGAGTCAATCACAAGTGACTACAGCATGTTGACTATAATTCATTTGCTCATTCGTTCACTCTCCAGGTGGTCTCAGAATCCTTGCTCTGTGCCATGCTTTATGGCCCATGGGGGAAAGCCAGGCACCTGTAGAGCAGTGTGATGCAGCCCTTTGTAAGGAATGGGGAGTTGAATGAGCACTAAGATGGGGTCAAACCCAGTCTGGAAGGCTGGTAGGTCTTTTGGCAGTGGAGACACCAAAGCTGAGGAATCAGAAGGATCAGCCTTCAACAGGGTGAGGGAGGATCTGGGAGTTCTGTGGACGAGATAAAGACACAGCCTAGCCATAGATGGTTTGGCTCAGTGGAAAGAGCATCAGCCTGTGGACTGAAAGGTCCCAGGTTCGATTCCGGTCAAGAGCATGTACCTTGGTTGCGGGCACATCCCCAATGGGGGGTGTGCAAGAGGCAGCTGGTCAATGTTTCTCTCTTATAGACGTTTCTAACTCTCTGTCCCTCTGAATTCCTGTGTAAAATCAATAAAGTATTTTTTTTTTTAAAAAAAGGAAAGAAACAGCCCAGCTGGTGTAGCTCAGTGGATGAGCGTCAATCCATGAACTAGGAGATTAGGTTTCAATTCCTAATCTAGGTTTTGGGCTTGATCCCTAGTGAGGGTCCTGTAGGAGTTAGCCTGTTGATTCTCTCTCATCACTGATGTTTATATCTCTTCCTCCCTTTCCCTTTAAAAAAAAAAATATATATATATATATATATATTTTATTCTTTTTAAAAAAATATATTTTATTGATTTTTTACAGAGGAAGGGAGAGAAATAGAGAGCTAGAAATGTCGATGAGAGAGAAACATTGACCAGCTGCCTCCTGCACACCCCCTACTGGGGATGTGCCCGCAACCAACGTACATGCCCTTGACCGGAATCGAACCTGGGACCTTTCAGTCCGCAGACTGACGCTCTACCAACTGAGCCAAACCCGTTTCGGCTCCCTCTCCCTTCTTCATTCTGAAATCAATCTATCCTATCTAATAAAAGAGTAATATGCAAATTAACCATCACTCCGCTACACCCACAAGCCATGCCCACCAGCCATGCCCACCAGCCAATCAAAGCAAGCAAATTAACCCCAACCAAGATGGCTGTAGCCCAGAGGGCAGGAGGGAGGCTTGGGTTTCTCTGGCAATGGAGGAAGCCAAGCTTTCCACACACCCTGGAAGGCCCAGGCCTCCACTCAAGGGTACAAAGTTCCAATTATAGAAGGTAAATAAATTCCAACAGAAATGGTGGTAGCCATGGAGCTGGAAGAGCAGGAGGCTAGGGTTGCCCGGGGCTATGGAGGAAGCCAAGCTTCTGCAGCCCTGGCAGACTCAGGCCTCCACTCAAGGCTACAAAGTTTCAATTATAGAAGATACATAAATTCCAACAGAAATGGCTGCCACAGAGCCAGCAGGAGGCTTGGCTCCACTCCAGAATACAAAGTTTCAATT